ATTGTTACTTCAAGTTGTACATTTTAATAATGTGAATATAATTAGCTAATAAAATTCTTTATATTGTTTGAACATCTAATCTTTTCAGCTTTAATGGTTTTGATGTCCATTAGGACATCAAAACCAGTGAAGCTGAAAAGATCAAATGTTTCAAAAGATATTGATTACAATATCTTTTGCACCTTGCAAAATTGATTTGAAAAATATTTAAGTGCCTGGAATTTAATGTTTTATCATAATAGTAAAAGTGAAGCAACATGTTTCTCAAACTGAAATAATGATTTTACATTTCAAATACATAATGTCTTATGTTGTTTTTCTATAATCATTGTTTTACTGACTGCAAAGACACTAATCAGTCAAATAAAATGCATTATTATTGTGATTTACAGTAAGTAATTTCAGAAGAATGTATACAAGAAAAATACAAATCAAAGATATCCCTTTCAATTATTTTAGTTTTTGAGTTTTAGTGTCTGTAACATTTTTATCACACTAGTTTGGTACTTTGATGGCAAACATTTATGAGAAAATATATTCCATTTAAATATAGAAGGTTTCTTAAAAATGAGCTTGTTTATATTGTTTTTCTGTTACTCAGACGTTAGAGATGTCCATTTAAATTTATTTAAATTTTATTCAAAGTATGTGTATATGTATGTTTGCTCATAATACGAATCCCAAACTGCCCTAATTTACACTGTGAAAATGTGTCAAAGTAGTGAAATTTCCTTCTATTTCAACAACTATATCAATTTCTTAGTGATGTTTTTAAAACTTGTTGCACTTTGAATTGTGTTTCCCTACACATATCAAAATAGTCCCATCTTAAAGAAAAGAAAAAAGTGCTTATCAATTTGGTGGACTTAAGATAAAGTTTAAAGTTGTCTTTCATAAAGATTTTTAAGTAGAAAACTTTAGTGGATGAAATACCAGAGAAATTCAACTCTTTAGGCAATGAAAATTGCACTTTTTTTGTAGAGCAATGTCTCATCTTTAATAATCAATTGGTTTCACATCTCTCACACCAGTACAACTCCAGGTTCACTCAAATCAAAAATAGTGTATATTGCATTCATTTTGTGCAAAACTGGTGGATCCAATGCATTGAAATTTGCATTGTTAACCTAGTGAATGAACATTGTCAGCTGAATCCCATTTTAAATTTCATTTAATTTAAACTTTCATTTAGACTTGTTTCATCACTGGATATTGCAACTTTTTTTTTATATTTTCATTGACAATTCATTTTAAAGCTGTATAAAGTACTTATTCATTGTATTTTGTCTAAACTGTCATGCTTGAACCACTTTCATCTTGGCTATTGCTTTTATGCATTTTCTTAAAAACAGATAATAAAATTCATATGATAAATAAAAATATATAAAGTAGATATATTTTTAGTTCTTTAAATTTTGCACTCTCTCCATAAAAATTAAAGTATCCATTATTCATTAATTTCATTTACAATACATTCATGTCTAACAATATTTTCTCTAATTTTTGTGATTTGGGGATTAAATTGAAATTTATTTATATTTTCTTTTTAAAAAATGAAATGGGATACATTTTAAATAAAAAAAAAAAAAATGAACTGCTTATATCTTTTAGCTTAACTTTGGCACATAGGTCCATAAAAAAAATTGAAATGTAATTAAGTAATTTTAATGTTTCCTTTTTCTTTTCTTTTCCTTTTTTATTTAATGCTTATTTGTTTTCTAATTCTAAAGATTAGGTCCTATATTGCTGGTTAAAATAAAATTGTTACATTTTGTTACATTTTCTTTAAAAAAAATGGATACAATTTATAGTTGTTTAAATTTTGCAAACATCTAATTTTGTAATTTTTTTCCCTTAAGCCAACTTTTGCATTGATCAAGTCATTTCCACCCAGTGATGTCATCAAAACTTTAGTTACAACCAAAGGCAGAAATGATTGTTTTAGATGGCTTTTGTTGGGGATGATATTGCACAAATGATATCAACATTTGTCTTTAGATGGGACTTTTTGATATAATACCACTTTCAAGTGATGATAGGATATGGAGTGTTTCAGGAATATAGTCTATAACAGAGGCATATAAACAAGTCCAGGCTGCAAATCCCCATTAGAAGAGGTAATGCAGGAGAACCATTCTAACTGTCTTTTTCATCTGTTGTGGCATTTTCCTTCTCATTTCAGTTGTAAAAAAATGTTTAACCTAAATTTATTTTATCATTGTAAATAATAATATGGGTATTTACTTTGTGGCTATCCCTATGCTGTCAGGTTTTATGTATCAATAGATATGAATAGGCTGATATTAATATATGATAGATATGAATAAACTGATGTTAATAGACATGAATAGACTGATATCAATAGATAGAAACAAACTGAAATTATTATTGATATGATACTACCGCTCACTCACTGAAGGTAATAAGAAGAAAAACTGACTATTTTTTTATTTCATAGGCATAAACACTTAGATATAATCTGGTAGAAATTCAGCTGTTAAGTTCATCTTTTCTATTTTTTCTTTCTTGTCCCCAACACAGTCAAATTGTGTGTGTGTGTGTGTGTAAAATGTATGTGCACATGCGTGTACATTAGCACATATGTCACTCATACACAACACTGACATATGTATATACATTACATATGCACATGTAAAGTGTGATGGACAGAGGATTAGCTCTTCTTTTATGATACAGATTTTATTGTAAAGTTTTGCTTGATATGTTCCTTGAAATTTGTTGGTTTGAGAATGTATTTCATATCAAGTAAATTTGGTTTAAAATTCTAGCATTTGTAGAGAGCGCTGAAAAGTTACTGACTCAACCAAGTTAGGATTCTCTTGCAAAATTGTATTGTTTGGTCATTTTTCAGATTTGGGGAAGTGGGTCAAGATCAAAACTTTTCAGCACATCCTTGTATAATAGATATTATTTATAACAGACATAATTTCAAGCACTAAAGAATAAATTTATTAATGTTAGCATAACAATGGGCTTTGGAGAGAAATTCAGATTTGACTGCCCTGTGGTGTATATATATATATATATATATATATATATATATATATATATATATATATATATATATATAGTTAGTTTATGCAAAACTAGGTAATCTGTATGGGTAGACCCAAGGAGGATGATATCCAGAGAGCTCAATGTAAATTCAGAGCATAAAATTATTTGAATAAAAACAGACCACTTTAAGGTTCCATGTAATAAATTATTTCACCACAGCCCTTTTTAAAGGGCTCTGGATCATCAGACTTTACTTCCAAAGGTTGAAATGAAAAATAAAAATAAATTTACACATTTTTGATGGGCTGTATTAAGCATATGTAAATTAACGAAGTGAGGAAGTGAGAGGGGAGAGAAGACATGAGTGAGTTAGATGTACCATTTCAATTCTTTATCCTTAAGCTCATTTGGTGTGGGCCAGACATCACTTAACGTATATTATCTCTAGATATAGATGGGTAAGGGGTGAAGAAGAAACCCACATAAAAGGAAAAAGATACAATAAAATAAATCACTCAATTTCTTAGATGCTGTTATTTCGCATTACTTTAAAGGGTATATTTGGGGGTTAAAGTTTGATATAAATCTAAATGTCTAAACAATCTACGAAGAATTTAATTTGATGTTTGTTGGAGTTTTGGGTATTTTCTATGAAATAGTCGATTGGAAACAATTCATAGAAAGTGCATTGAAAGAATAAATTCCTTTTACATCTAGTAATCTTTTTTATTTGCTTAAACTTTTTTCTTGTTGATTATTAAGTTGACATTTATCCGTTTGAGTTTTGTTCATAAATTAAACATGTGTGTATGTGTTTTTCTGCAGGTGTATATGTGTATGTATGGGTATATACATATAGTTTTGTGTATATGTGTGTGTATGTGTATATATGGATTTATATGTATATAGGGATATGTATGTATGTGGATATAGATAGGTGTTCGGATATGTGTAGAGGTGTGTATGTGTATGGACATATAGAATATTATAAAAGAAGGACCTAATTTTCTGTTAGTAATGTTTTATCCAAATTTCTCCTAATATTCTCCAATTGGAAATGAGTTTAAATAATATGGAGGTAAATTTTAAATTGATAATTTAAATTGAAATATATTACCCTTTAATAATCATTATTGATGATAAAATTATTTAAATTGGAATAATCTTTGATAATTATGTAGGTATCTAAAAACAGTCACGAGTTTAAATTCTTGTGTGCTCGCATAAGGAAATTTTTAATAACGTCTATTTTATATCTGAGAGGACAGTAAAATTAAGATGGCAAGAGTTTTTACTTGTGGTTTTTTTATATAACAAAGTATTGAATGTATTATTACTAGACTCCACAAGAACATCCAAGAATGCAAGTTTATTTTGTTGGTTAAGTTCATAAGTAAAGTTGAGGCGAATATGTCCTGAAAAGAAAAAAAAATTATACAAACACATGAGAAATTATATAAAAACCTCAACCACTACACCTTGTCAGTCGTTTTCAATGAAACATGCATATATATATATATATATATATATATATATATATATATATATATATAACTCATGTTTATATGCCTAATGATTGGCAAAGCCATGAAACTGAGTTGTACTGTTAACATAGGTATAAATTATTAATATATACTTTATAGTTCTGTTTATCTACATTGAGCACTGTTTTGTCTACACCATTGATTAAATAAATAGTTATTTGCTAACATGTATGTGTACAGAATTGCTCATATATATGGTTGATCGTATCTCTTTTTCTCTCTCATATATATATATATATATATATATATATATATATACTTCTGAGTTAATTTTACTATATTTCAGAGTTTAATAACTTTCACATATAATTTTAAAAATTTATTTTCAGTTTTGAAGACAGATTACCTCCAAAATGCTGCAAATATTTGTTTTTTTTTCTTTTCCCAAGAAATATGTGATTACCAAGTAATTGACTTATTTTAATTTGACTATTTTAGAGCATGACATCTGAACAAGTGGAAGGACCTGTATCTACTGAAGATTTCCTTGAGATGAAAAAAGCATTATCAAATTCAGAGTGTCGTGTACAGCAGCTTCTTCAAACCCAAATAGACTTAAAAACTGAAGTGAACCGACTAAAGACTTTGGTAAGCTTGTTTCTTTCTGCTTCTCTGTATAAATGAATAACTAATAATATACCATCTTTTCTCTCTCTCTCTCTCTCTCTCTCTCTCTCGCGCACACACACACACACACACACACACAAAATGTGTGTGTATTTTGCCTTGATTGAGATTAATTATTGTATATGATCTGTCTTGCACAGATTTGGAAACAATTGAATTTATTGTGAGGAGAAAATTTTACAAAGAATATGGGAAATAAGATAAAGATTGAAACTAATCATTCCAGAAAGATTTAATTCACATGTAAGAGTGATCATATTTTATTCTTAAAAAATAAAATTTGTGACAAAATGTAATAGCTGAATTTGATAGCAATCCAAGGTAGTAACAGCAAGTATTTCTCTGTTAAGAAAGAAATCTACTATTGATGACTAACAATAAAAAAATCATAAACATTTTTTGCATTTATTAAAAAAAGTAGAAAGTTTTGATGGTTTTGGTAATTTTATTCCTTAGAGAATATTAATAGGTGCGTTGAGAAAACATTTTGGAAGGTAGTTATTTCTTTTTGTCATTTTAATAATTTGAATATAATTAGTTAATATATAGCTAAATTATATTGACTATAATGAGTTTTATACATATGCACTGACTGTGATGTCCTAATTAGTATCTTTTATTTAAAATTTTATTTTTATCAATTAAAATATACAAAATTCTATTTAAAAAATAATGTTATAAAATTTTAGAAAAACAAAAAATTTCTTTCAACTGTTTAAGTTTAAAACATCTGAGGGGAAATAAATTCATCAAAAAAAAATGTTGGACTTGTAGATATGTGACTTGAAACTGAATGAAACATTTGTCATCTTTTGAAAAGAAAAAATATTGGCACTACATCTACTTATAATGTAATATCTTTGGTTGGTCCTGTTGATAGTGAACTTGTTTTATAAATATGATTTGCCATAATTGTTTTAGTTCAAGTAAATCAATACTTTTGCTCAAATTTTCTCTGATCTGCTTTCCTTCAAATAACTATCTCCATAATTTTATCACAATTTAAAAAGTGGCCATATTTGAAGATGTTAAGAAAATTAATGTTTCAGACATTTGAAAGTATATTGTTGCTAATGTAAAATTTCAAAAATGTTAAATTCAATCAAGGCATATTTATATAATTCTTTATGACTGCTGATTCTTCATCACTGATATTTTAACACCAAAATAATGTTATTTTTTTATCTGTGAAAATTTGTAAGAATTAAAAGTAAAAAAGTAAGAAAATATGACTGAGACACACGCACATACTTTGCTATTAAATTTATATATCTGCTTTTGCGATAAGTTTGTCAATCTATTTTCACTGCAAAATAAGCATAAATTATACTGAAATTAATATTAAGATATTATTTCTTTGATAAAATGCAAGCCTAACATTTCTTTGAACCTATTATCATTTTTTTAATCAGGTAAATTCCTTAGTAGAAGAAAATTCCCTTCTAAAGAGAGACAAGTGTGGGAACAACAACAATAACAATAATAACAACAACCCTAACATGGTAACAGCAGCTACAAGCACCAGCATGCTGAATGGTCTGCCCCAGGGACGGCAGAATAGGCAATCGGCTACACCACCTCACAGTACAATAGTTACAGATTTAAAACGGATTCCAGGCACTGCTCGACCTCAGTCAATGTTTGAACCAAGAGACCATCAAAGACTCTCAAGAATGGTAAGATTTCTACAGTTTTATTTTCATGTTTATAACAAAATGATTTTTATTCCTTTGATTTGTTGCTCTATGTTCTATTTTTTCAGTCTTTTTTTCTTTTCTCATATTTTTCATTTCTTCTTTGTATATTTTCCCCCTTTAACACTGTTTTTATGCTATTTTCCTGTTTGTTTTTTAAAATCATTTTATTGTCTTTGTATCTGTTTTCATGGTCCCTTATTTCTTTATCTGCTATCTTTATTTTACTCTTTTTTTTTTTTTTATTTCTCTTTTAGTCTTTAATCTGCTTTCATTTTTTTTCTTCTCTTTCTGTTTGTCTTTCTTGCTTTTCTTTTCAAACTACTTTCCACCTTTTCTACCCAATCACAGTCTACCCTAAACCCTATAGATGGTTGTCTTATTGCTTGTAAACCAGTTTTTCTACTAAACTTCTCTAAATGCTACATTACTGTTTGCAAACAAACAAAATGTGTTTACTACATATTCATGTCATTAGTTTTCCATATTATGTTTATTAATCTGTAAAAAATCATAACCAGATATTTTGCAGGAAATACATTGTCAGCAGACAATGATTTAGTTTCAAAATTGCTTGAAATGTTTTTCTGAACCATAATTAAAAAGTTTGACTAATTGTGTAAAAATCTTCACTTTTCTGAGGAATTTATAAAAAATATAATGAAATTCATTGCTGAAATTAAATTTATTTTTCTTATCTTTCTATTGCATTCTTTGTATAAAAAGAATTTTCCTTTTAATTTATATGACAATAACTCTTTAAAATAATGAATAATGTATTCACTCCAATTTGTGAAAAACTAACAGGAGACTCATTCGGTGTGTTTGTTTGTTTATATGTATGTATATATATATATATATATATATATGTATATATATATATATATATATATATATACACACACATGGT